GGATTGGTAACTGGTTAAAAGATAGGAAACAAAGGGTAGGAATAAACAGTTTTCAGAATGGAGAGAGGGAAATAGTGGTGTCCCCCAGGACTGTACTAGGCCCAGTCCTATTCAACATATTCATAAATGATCTAGAAAAAGGGGTAAATAGTGGGGTGGCAAAATTTGCAGATAATACAAAATAGTTAAGTCCCAGGCAGACTGCGAAGAGCTATGAAAGGATCTCTCAAAACTGGGTGACTGGGCAACAAAATGGCACATGAAATTCAATGTTGACTAATGCAAAGTAATGCACATTGGAAAACAATCCCAACTATACATATAAATTGATGGGCTGTAAATTAGCTGTTACCACTCAAGAAAGAGATCTTGGAGTCATTGTGGATAGTTCTCTGAAAACATCCACTCAATGTGCAGCAGCAGTCAAAAAAGCGAACAGAATGTTGGGAATCATTAAGAAAGGGATAGATAATAAGACAGAAAATATCATATTGCCTCTATATAAATCCATGGTATGCCCACATCTTGAATACTGCGTGCAGATGTGGTCGCCCCACCTCAAAAAAGATATCTTGGAATTGGAAAAGGTTCAGAAAAGGGCAACAAAAATGATTAGGGATATGGAAAGGCTGCTGTATGAGAAGGGATTAATAAGACTGGGACTTTTCAGCTTGGAAAAAAGATGACTAAGGGGGGATATGATAGAGGTCTATAAATTCATGACGAGTGTGGAGAAAGTAAATAAGGAAGTGTTATTTACTCTTTCTCATAACACAAGAACTAGGGGCCACCAAATGAAATTAATAGGCAGCAGGTTTAAAACAAAGAAAATGAAGTATGTTTTCACACAACACACAGTCAACCTGTGGAACTCCTTGCCAGAGGATGTTGTGAAGGCCAAGACTATAACAGCGTTCAAAAAAGAACTAGATAAATTCATGGAAGATAGGTCCCTCATCGGCTATTAGCCAGGATGGGTAGGGATGGTGTCCCTAGCCTCTGTTTGCCAGAAGTTGGGAATGGGCAACAGGGAATGGATCACTTGATGATTACCTTTTCTGTTCATTCCTTCTGGGGCACCTGGCATTGGCCACTGTTGAAAGACAGGATACTGGGCTAGATGGACCTTTGTTCTGACCCAGTATGGCCATTCTTATGGAAACTACAGAACCTGAACCACCAAAAAAGAAAATCAATCTTCTGCTGGTGGCATCTGACTCAGATGATGAAAATAAACATGCATTGGTCTGCACTGTTTTGAGTCGTTATCGAGCAGAACCTGTCAACAGCATGGACGCATGTCTTCTGGAATGGTGTTTGAAGCATGAAGGGACATATGAATCTTTAGCGCATCTGGCATGTAAATATCATGTGACACCGGCTATGACAGTGCCATGCCAACGCCTGTTCTGACTTTCAGGTGACACTGTAAACAAGAAGTGGGCAGCATTATCTCCTGCAAATGGAAACAAACTTGTTGGTCTGAGCAATTGACTGAACTGGCTTGTAGGCTCTAAGTTTTACATTGTTTTATTTTGAATGCAGGTTTCTTTGTACATAATTCTACATTTGTAAGTTCAACTTTCATGATAAAGAGATTGCACTACAGTACTTGTAATACTATTTCTTTTGTTTTTTTGCAGTGCAAATATTTGTAATAAAGAAATATAAAGTGAGCACTGTACATTTTGTATTCTGTGTTGTAATTAAAATCAATATATTTGTAAATATAGAAAACGTCCAAAATATTTAAATAAATGGCATTCTATTATTAACAGTGCAATTAATCGTAATTAATTTTTTTAAGTACTTGACAGCCGTATTCATAGACAATGATTTGTTTATACTGCTCTGTATACTATACACTGAAATGCAAGTATAATATTTCTATTCCAGTTGATTTTATAATTATGTGGTAACAATGAGAAAGTAAGCAATTTTTCAGTAATAGTGTGCTGTGACACTTTTGTATTTTTATGTCTGATTTTGTAAGGTTTTCAGTTAGGTGAAACTTGGGGGTACACAAGACAAATCATACTCTTGAAAGGGTTATAGTAGTCTGGAAAGGTTGAGAGACACTGGTTTATAGTACATACCTTACAACAGGCACAGTATGTATAAAGATATATATTTAACTAGCAATACAATTTAACTAGCAGCAATACAATACAACAATAATGATAAAAACCCAGATTTGTACAATGAAGCTTTCTGCTGGAATATTAAGCCTGATTTTGACTGCATTTCCATCAGCATAAATCTGACACAACTCCACTGATGGAAAAGGACTTACACAGGCAAAAACTGTCCCAAGTATGATCAGAATCAGGCCCCTTCCCATTTGCTGACCATCTCTGATTTTAATTTTGCAATCTGTTTTAATACTGTAGTTTTGTAATTTAAGAGAGTGGATGAAACCACACTCTTGATCATTCCATTGGTTGCTTCAGGAAAAAAACTGGCTGTGAAATCCTTAAACATCACACCCACCGCAATCTCTCTACTGCCAAGAGGACAGCTATACAGTCCCTGAAATCTAACCACCAGATAGTGATCAAACCAGCAGACAAAGGGGTGGGTGTCGCCACTGTAGTCCTCAACCATGATGACTATGTCAATGAGGCCAACTGACAACTCACTGACATCACCTACTATAAAGAACTGAAAGAAGTCCCCACACCACAATTTATGCAGGAATTTAAGGATACCATCAAATCCTTCCCCAAATAACTCCAAGAGGAACTCTACAAACTCATCCCACACAAATCCACAGTCCTTCTGCATGTTTTCCAAGATAAACCACGGAACGCAGGTAAACCATCATATCTGGCCACAGCACTCATACTGAAGAAATATCAGGACTCACAGAAACTATCCTCAAACCACTCACCATACAAAGGGCCAGCTTCCTCCAGGAGGCAACTGACTTCCTCCAAAAACTTTGCAACAGTAACAACCTCTCTCAGAACACCATTCTTGCCACTCTGGATGTCACTTCACTATACACCAACATCCCTCACAATGACAGCATAAATGCCTGCCTCAAATATTTACAAGACAATGGTCAACCCTCAGATATCCACTCCAAACACATTGCCAAACTCATCCATTTCATCCTCACCCATAACAATTTTACATTCAACACCAAACACTTTGTCCAAACCACGGGAACAGGCATGGGTACTAGGATGACTCTCCAATATGCCAACCTTTTCATGGGCCACCTTGAAGAAGAATTTCTGGACAAATGCACCATAAAACGAATGATATGCCTGAGACACATCAATGGTATTTTCACCCTCTGGACAAATGACAAACTCCCTCATAGATTTCCACAAAACTTGAACCACCACCACCTGTCCATTAAACTCTCTCTGGAACACTGCCACACTAGCATCAACTTCAACAGTGGAATCCAACAGACAGCTATATACGAGAGACCCAACCACCCCAAGAAATCTTTACCTACACCCAAGCACTCAAATTCCACATAATATCCTCAGAGGAAAAAGTCTAGGATATAAAGCTTGACACATTCAAAACTACCTTCACCAAACAAGGACATTCTACCAGAGAAGTAGGTCACATAATGGAACAGGCCATCCAAATACCTTGAGAGAACCTGCTTCAGTATAGAAATAAACCCCCTCCAACCGCACACCCCTACCTGTCACCTACCACTCACACTGGAACCTATATGGGGTATCATCAAACACCTACAACCATATTAATGGAGACCCCATCCTGAAAAAATCTTTCCTGAACCCCGTCTTCTGGCCTTCAAACAACCCCCTACCCTTTCCAAGCTCATCATCAGAACCAAGCTCCTCACAGACCAGGAGGTCAAAACTCAAAGTGGTACCAGACCCTGCCAGAACAACAGATGCAAAACCTGCAGAACACATCTGCACTGCTACAATGAGCAACACCCCCTCCCCCCAACACACCTTTCAAGATCCATGGGTCCTACGCATGCCTATCACAACATGTGCTGTACCTCATCCAGTGTACTAAATGCCTCAACAACAACTGTGCGGGTGAAACCAGACAATCACCATGAACTCTCTCAGGAAAATGCTAAAAGACAAAAACAGCATATCACCTGTGCATGAACACTTTCCACAAAGCGCATTTATATTCCCCATCTTGCAAACAGAAGGTATGAGAAAATAGCACCCCATGGTGATAGGCTTTGACCAGAAATGAGCACAGGTACATAAGGTTCTGGGCTAGCAGAGAATGTAGGCTCTACTGACCCTGCTATCATTTCTGCACACGCCTTTGCCTCTACTTTTGACATTTCTATCCCTGGCCCGAGCCTGGCACTTTGTGCAGCTTCTTTGGTAATTTCATTATTTTTTCTCCTCCCCATCACTTCTGCTACACATGGACACAATGCAGCTTCTGACACATTGCCAATGGATTTTATATTAATAACTTTTTTCCTTATTATTGAATTTATAACTAAAAAAAGTTGCTGGGTTGACAATCCTAAAGACTGCAGTTCTATCAACAGAACAGGCAGATCATGCACAGCAATGCGGCAAGCTTCCCCCCAACACTTCCTACCTGTAGGCTTCATTCCTGACCCGGAGGTACCACCTCAAGGGGAAAGAGAGTACAGCAGAGTCTCCATGCCCAGTCAATTCAGGTACTAACTAGGGTACCCATTGTGCTGGTGATTTGATGTCTGTCTGTCTGTCTGTTCGTTCTTAAATTTTACTAACCCACGAAAGTAGGTTTGAATTTGTTTGGTTTAACCCTGGAGTTTCTTTTCTACACAGCTACACATGGAACCAATAATTTACATGTGCAAGAATTAAACACTTAGATTCTGTAGTATAAGAATATGACTAGAAAGGCACACAGACACTCTAATATTCGGTGTACCACTTACTATCATTCAGTGCAATGAAATTGTTTCATTTAAACAGGAACAACATTCATTACATCTACAATAAGTCTTCAGTTTAAAACAAAACAAATATATTTGTTTTTACCTCAAACCATTGTTTGTTTCTTCATCTGAAGAGAGGCCATTGCATACATTCCCGAAAGAGTGGCTGGGTTTCAATTTGGCTTCCTCACAGTCTGATGTTGCGTCTCTCTTTTTCCTTTTACCAAAAAACTTCTTGAAAGGCTGGAATTTGCCTGCCCTTTTCTTGTCTGCAGATCACAAGACAAACACATATGGTAACTTATCAAGGCTGCACTTTGGTGTGTGCTAGAAAATCACAGCGGCTAGAACTTGCAAAGGAAAAATGAGGTCAAAGAGCAATCACCAGCCTAAGCAAACCCTGTGCTTGGAATTTAAATGCACGGCTGCAACTCACTGTCAAGGCACAATATCGACAGAGCAAAATGAAGAGCATTAAAACACCTGCTCTCTGGATTAAAGATTCATGCTGAGGTGTCAGTGCGGTCAAACATTTGGATGGGGGGGGGGGAAAATCATTTACAAGAGACAGAATGAAAAACCAATAGAAGGAGATTCATTTTTAGATTGTGTAGTACTTTTCTTTTGTCCTGGTCACTAAAGAAAAGCTCTGCATTCATTACCATATTGCAGCAGGTGCTACATGCACTGGTTTGAATGGAAGAAACTGAAAATAACTTAGTATATATTATTTATATTGTGCCATAGGTGAACAAGGCACTTTGAAGACAAACAAAGATAATGGGTTAAATTCTCAGAGTTACATCAATGTACATCGAGAGTGAAGTTTATAAAGATGGGTATCATTCTTCTCATTTTGCAGATGGGGCAATGGAAACAGAGAGAGTTTATGTGACTTGTCCCGGTCGCAAAGTGTGTCAGTGGCAGGGCCAGGAATAGATCCCTAGTTGCCTAATTTCCAGAGCCAAATTCAACCCAGCATGACCCACAGTGGGGGGGGAAAATGTTTAAATCAGCATAATCTCATGAGCGCTAGGACCCAGGAGAAAAGGAAGGGGAGGGATGGAGTAGCTCAGCCCTTTATGTCCTCCCGCTCAGCCCCTGCTCACCTTCAATTAACCCCATCTCACAGCTTCTCCTACTTCCAGCCTGCACAGTCCTCAGGTTGCAGGGATTGTGGGGGACATAGGAGAAACTCTTCCACCATTCACCCTCTAGCCAGGCCTGGTACCCTACCAATTCACAATCTTTGCAAGAACATCCTGGCATGAAACTACAAGGAGATTTTGGGTCTCAGGTTAAAAAAAGACTGAGAACCATTGCATTAGGCTACACTTGGCCCAAATCTTCAAGCATTTGAGATTTTTCCTCATTTGGTAAAGGCACTGTCACAGTTCCTGAGTCAGCTGCACCTCTGAGTCCCTCATGCGCTCCTCAAGGGCACCCCACTTAGGTCTCAGGCCTCCAGCCATCACTTTTCTCATGACAGAATCCTATGATTTCTTCCCTTCAGTCCAGAGTCTTTTCTATAGACCCTTCCAAATTATTGTGGTTACCTCAGCAGGTCTGTCTTCAGTTCAGGACCTGCATTCCCGCAGGGGCAATGACAGGGCTATCCAGTGACCAATCACTTTCATCAAGTGAAGTACTATTTATTCAGAACAAAAGCATTTAAGAGAAAACATATCTTAAAAACAATAAACAACTTATATGCATGACTAGCTTACAAAGTGGTCAGCCATCTTTCCCTTGGGGACTGTGGTAAAATACTTCAGGTCCTTCCAAAGGGTTTGGTTCTGTTGGTCAGTCTCATGCTTGTCAGTTCTTGGACAGAGTTTCCCCCCTCCCAGGGCACTATTTTTATACCGTTTCAAGTCCTTTGTGTTCTTAGGCCTCTTAAACTAGATCAAATCAGTCTATAAAGCTTCCTCCTTGGGGGCAGGGGTAGGGGGTAAAACTTTAAAATATTTGTTACATGGATTATTTCAGAATTGAAGATTTGCCTCAATTACCTCCATTATTTTTAGCTCCTGCAGGAAGCATTCCTTATCTTACTTATTTAGCCAAGAAATGCAAAAACTAGCAAGCACATAAAGATACATATAACATTTATAACATCATAGGCACTATTCATGAAAATGGCTCTTGTAGGCTGGTAGAGCACAGAACAAATTGTGCACTACCAGAGACAAGACTTGTGGAAGGAACTGGATTGCCACAGTTTCCATATGTCTGCTACTATAACAGGGACAGATCTCTCCCCTCTTTTTCAATAAGGATTTCAGTCCATACCATTCCAACAGCACAGCTAGCTCACTCAGCATATAGCATAAGCCAGTACAGTCACAATGACTTTTTGAAAGGGCCCTTGCATTTTCAGCCCACTTGCTGCTGTCCTATCCCCACTGTAGGCTGGTAACAGAACATCAAGTCTAAACCTGCACTGGACATGGGTCCGGAGATAAATTCAAGCCCTAGACTTTTCATTAAACTAACAGCTGTGAATAGAAAACTTATAATTAAAATATCTTTGTATATTTGTAGCCTAGGGTTTTCAAACGCTCTCATGTTCATTAAAGGAAGCAGTTTTAGGTATTGCTTCCACATATCAGCATGTAGTTTGAAGATCATCATACAGCATTTGGGAAACCACAAACAACTGTAGTTTTTAATATGCACCATATTTTTATTCAAAATACCCCAAAGTTTGAAATTGTGCATAAGCTGTTTCCAAGCACATAGCAAATAATATGTGTTTAACTTTATACAGAGATACCGACGGACCATTTGCTTTAAATGAGCAGATATTGGAGCTTCAGTCTGATAATCCCAGCAGAGAACAAAATATTTTCACCATTTTAGAACTACAACACTAAATGGGCTCAACCCTGCATCCCTTGCATATATTTAACTCCCTGTGAAGTTAATGAAAGTTTTGAGAGGACAATTGTAAGATCAGGCCCAGGAGGAAAATTATGACATATGCATACAACCAAAGTTCCCAGTGTAGAATAGGTTGACACAAACCATAAACTGAAGTCAGTAACATACACAAACACACAGACATATGCTTAATTAACTTATTGTCAGTGCCCTAATAAGGAAGAAATATCAATATATATTATTATGGCACCATTTCACTCTCTCTGTTCTTCCCAAGTGATGCAACACTTTATATCTGCACATCATAGCTGCCATTCTTTCACATGAGGACAAGTTTTTCTTCAGAGCCAATAAATGTCAATCCTTTAAATCAAGCTGGATGGCTCACTGTTAAACGGATGGGTAATCTGAGGCAGCCCTTGACCCCCAGGGCTGAGCAAGCTGTGCTTGCAACATCCCCAGACCCTTCCAGCATTGACACAAGTAGTAGTCAATCCCACGTCTTCCACAGGACAGTGCAAGTTCACTACCACTTGGGCAAGGTCTTTGTAACAAGCTTTTGGTTGTTTCATAAATGTTATTTTATAAAAACAAGATATTTGATGATTCCCAAGATCTAGAAAGTGGGACAAGTCTCCATTTCTATGCTGATATGACACTAAGAGGAATCAAGAAGTTGGAAATGTGGTGGACACAGATCTCCCAAAACCATAATGTGTCTTTTGCTCTAAGATGAAAGCTGACTTATTCCTTGTCATATTAAATGTTATGGAGGGTGATGATGGTGGTGGAGCCCCTAGATGCTGCAGGCATGTTTCAAAGACAATTGCTGAAATAGCCTGAAAACAACTCTAGTCATATGTGCAATTTCCTAGTGTTTTATTAACTACCAGGTCTGGAATTATGCAAATTCAGCTCCAAGACAGCAAATGAAATAAGCAATCGAACCTTGTTCTTGCTTAGTTTACACACCTTTTTCTTTATTTCTTTCAGAAAATCACTATGAATAGTTAATAGCAAATTGAGGAATGTTGTACTTCAGAGTCTAAATCATGGAAAACTATGGTGTGAAGGCAACAGCTAAACAGAAATGAATGCAGGAAGAAGAATACCACATCATATACAGTAAATGCTCTCTTTGTATCTGATGCCAGTGGAGTAGCAAGAACACATTAAAAACAATCTTTAACCTGTGATATAATTCCTCAGTTGTATCTGTTGATGGAAGTGCAACAACTGCAGGACAGACAGGGCCGGCTCCAGGGTTTTTGCCGCCCCAAATGGTAGGGGGAAAAAAAAAAAAAAAAGCTGCAATCACAATCGCGATTGGTGGCAGCTCCACCATGCTGCTTTCTTCTTCGGCGGCAGGTTCTTCCCTCTGAGACAGACAGGGACTCTCCGCCGAATTGCCCCGGAAGAGCCCGATGTGCCGCCCCTTCCCTTGGCCACCCCAAGCACCTGCTTGCTTGCTCAGCTGGTGCCTGGAGTCGGCCCTGAGCACAGAGAGCTAAAGTGAAGCCTAACGCAACCTTTGGCATGCTACATTGTCGCACATGATCATACTCATCTTTACTAGAAAAATGGGTTCCACAGACAATCCATCTTTCATCTTAGTTCACTGCACTTGAAACTTGTAATCTCTATCAGTGACACCTCCCTAATAAAGCTGAAGGCAGCTGCAATCTGCTGTATTTTATGCAAATTGGATCTGGCCCTTGGACTCCTGGCAAAAGCCCAAAGCACCCTTTCAGTCTGTCAAAGTATGGACACCCTTGCTCCAGCAACTGTGGCAACTGACAAATCCCTGCCCAGGGGAAACTCACAGTAAGATTGTAATATAGGGACTCAAATGTCAATGGACTCCATTGCAATATATTTTCTATAGTGTCCTTTCAACCAATAGCATAAACCATTCAACTCAATTATGGGTCATATAAATTTAGATGTGACACTTAAAGAGTAGAAGAGACTCAGTTGTTTGGATAGAGAATGGGAGAGTGTTCCCAAGCAATAGATAAGAAACAGTAAAAGACTCTGAGGCAGGGTGAAGGAGATGCCAAAATTGGTGTTGTTAAACCAGATAGGCACTTTTCAATCAAAAGAACAAACGTCACGTGACAGATGTTAGTCACATCCCATAATCCATCAATGGCAGGCCCTCAGTTACCATGGTGATTAAGGTGGTATAAGAACCTATACAGAATAACACAGAATAGGATTCAAAATAGGCAGGAAGCAAACGAAGGTGACAGATGCTGCAGGTTGTGATTAAAGAGAAGGGATACAGAGAAACTATGAGAAGGAATTACATTAGTCAAAAGGGGAGTGTTGAAAGCATAGATAGAATGAAATCCTGAACCATTTGAAGTCAGTGGTAAAACTCCCA